TCACCTAACAGACTGGATTACATCTTCACATAACAGACAGATTTCAGGATCATCTAGGTGCCATATTAATCATCATCTAAATGCCGGATTACGTCTCTGCACAACTCCCAGATCACATCACTGCATAGCTGTCGAATGACATCATGCATAACTGCCTAACCACTGAGAAGTGGCGGTGCCATGAAGGAAAGACCTGGCAGCTGCTTCTTTGTAAATGACTGCCAAGAACCCACCGGCGGTTCTGCTCTGTTCTACAGGGCTGTGGGGGTCAGAACCCACTTAACAGCAGTGAGTTGTCGTCATCATTTATAGATGTATGATATAGAAATAACATAGAACTCTATACCCACGGAGAGGAACCCTGGTAGTGTAGGGGTTATGCATTGGACTGTGATCCAAGAGGTTGGCAGTTTGAAACCAGCAGCTGCTCCGCAGGAGCAAGACGGGGCTTTCTACTCCTGTAAACAGTTCCGGTCTTGGAAATTTACAGGGGCACTTCGACCTTGTCTTATAGAGTTGCTATGAGTCGGCATCGACTCAATGACATTGAGTTGTTTTTTAAAATATGCACATATATGAACTATCTATACACGCATATGCACAAGCTAGGTAGGCACACGCATGCATATACATTATTCCTGACTATCTATGTGTGTGTGAATGTGTGTTACGTGCTGTCAAGCCGGGTCTGACTCATGACGACCCCCTGCCAATAGAAGGGAATACCCCTCAATCCGGCGCCGTCTTCCCACTTGTTACGCTTGAGTTCGCGGTTGCAGCCACTGTGTCAACCCATCTCATCCAGGGTCTTCCTCTTTTTTGCTGCCCTCTACTTTCCCAAGCATGATGGCCTGCCCCTGGGACTGGTCTCGCCTGATGGCATGCCCAAAGTGAGACAAAGTCTCGCTGTATCCTGGCTTCTAAGGAGCATTCTGGCTGCACTTCTTCCAGGACAGATTAGCTTGTTCTTTCGGCTGTCCAGGGGACTTTCTCCCTTCTCCGCAATTCAAATGCAACGACTCTTCTTCAGCCTCCCTTCCTCGGTGCCCAACTTCCACACGCACCAGCTGTCGACATAGTTGTGCGTTCAGAAAGAAGTGCTGCGCAGAGCTGTGAAGCTGCACAAACAGAACGCACTTCTCCAGGAGAGATTTGCATTGCAGTTGCTTCTCACTCTGCACGGAGGATGAGGAGCCCCACGTAGGATCCCACCACGTAACACAGGGTTTGGGGGCTTCAGAGCTCGTGGACTCGGCCAGCTCGTCCTGCCAGCAGGCTCTGCCAGGTCAGGCCCCCTCCTTGGCGATGCCCTTTCTCTTGGTCCCTGCGCGTGACCAGCCTGCTACTTGCCAGCTGCCAGGTGCTCATTGCTTCAATCTGCCACGTGCTCTTTCTGCTCCTGCAGCATCTGCTTGGGAAAGCCCGTGTGCCCATGGGGACAGGGCTTCTCTGGAGCCAGGTTTTCTGGGTCACTTATCGAGGGCTGGGTGCCCATGGGCTCCCTCTCTCTCCCAGGCTGACCCTTCGGGAGCTGGGCCCCTGGGCCTCCCACATGCGCTGGCTGGTCTGGATCATGGCCTGTGTGGGCACCATATATGTCTTCTTCTTCCATGAGCGGTAAGCCCAGCCCGAGGGCCCTGGGAGGGTGGGTGCCCCCGCAGAGGGCCCGTTGGGGGAGAGTCCAGGGTGGGGGACTCTGCCTGGGCTCTTCCCAGTGTTAAGACTGTTCAAGGCCCATAGAACCAATCTGAAGAGCTTTCTAAAAAGACACGGTAGGTTCGTAGACCCTGTCAGCTGGGTGCTAGGCAGGCTACCATTCTTCTCTAGGCTGTGAGTCTTAGGGGTCTCTAGAGAGACGTGTAAGTGGTGTTGACATTGATAGGTGATGGATGGACGGATGGATGGATGGACAGATATACAGATGATGGATAGATAGATGGATATCGATGGATGGGTGTATAAACAGATGGATAGACAGGTCATTGATGGATGATAGATCTATGACTATATGGGTGAATGGAAGGATGGGTGGATGGGTGGGTAAACAGATTGATCAAAAGTAAATAGATGGATGAATAGATAGATGAATATGTGGGTGGGTGGATAGATGGATGCTAGATAGATAGAGAAATGGATAGATGAATATATGGATCAATAGATGGAAGGATGGTTGGATGCATTGATGGATGGTTGTATAAACAGATAGGTAAGTAATAGATGAATGTAGACATATGACTATATGGGTGAGTGGAAGCATGGGTGGATGTATTGATGTGTGCTTGTATAACCAGATAGGTAACAGATGGAAGGATGCATGGCTGAGTAGATGGATGGGAGTATAAACCGAGAAGAGATGGATGGAGGGATAAATGGATAGGTAGATGAATGTATGGATGGGTGGATAAAGACTTATATCAAGGTACTGGCTCATGTGATTGTTGTGGGCTGACAAGTCCACCACCCATAAGTCAGGTGACATGCTGAAGACGCCTGCAGTGTGCATCCCCAAAGGAGAGAACCCTGCCAACATGTCCACTGATAATCTGGAGACAGAGCACAGCTAAGGAAGCTCCCCTTTCCATTGATTGATGGATCCCAGTATTACTGGATTATAATGTGGAAAATGATTACATCGCGTTGCAGAACAGCAACTAGACTGATGATTGGCCAAAGCGCTGGGTCCTCTAGCCTAGCCCAGCTGCTGCTGTGAAGACAGATCGTAGGAGTGGCTTTGGGAGTCACTCCCTCCAGCCCCATTCTGCTCAACGAGAGGGCCAGAAATAATTCAGTGGGGAAAGTAACAGGGGAAAAGGAGCAAAAGAGAGTGACTGACCCCTGGAGTCTCAGGGCCGGCCAAGCCTTTCATAGACCACGGATGACAAATAGACTTCCAGTTAGTGGCTGAGATGGAGAGTGGCTGCTTGGACGCTGTGATCGGAGCGTGGTGTCCGCTACTGCCTGGAGCATGGAGAGTCAGAAGGCATTTTAGACCCCGTGTGGGCAATCCCTGTCCTAGCCCAAGTGTGCTGTTTCACAGCTATGGAAACTGAGTCTCAGAGTGGGAAAGGGGCTCTCAACACCACTCTGCCCATACCTGCTGGGGCATAGGTGGGTAGCACCCGAACTGCTGCTCCAGACAGCGGGAAAGGTGCTTCTTCTTCCTCCGCAGACCCGGGGAACAGGCTGCTGCCTCCTCCTGGGGAGGCGCGCTGAGGCCACGGTGGCGTGTCTTCCCGCCAGGTACAAAGTCCTGGAGCTGCTCTGCTACATCGTGATGGGCTTCTTCCCTGCTCTGGTCATTCTTTCCATGGTAAGTCGCCCACCCCTGCACCGTCTGCCAGGTGGGCTCCTGATTCTCAACATGGTCAAGACTGACCTTCCCCTAGGTGGGGGGTGGGGCTTGGGGGGGAGGACTGAGGCCCAGAAGGGGGACATGACTCGCCAAAAGAGGCAGAGGAACTTGAAGGTTAACACAAAAGGCCTGGCTTCTCTATTACCCTCTGCCCCTAACTTTGAGTCGGGGGGGGGGGGGGGGGGGGGGGGGCTGGTCGATTGAATCATGATGTATATTTCCATCAAAGGGTGCGCTCTGCACAATGAAATATACATCGAGTCCTTGCTGCTGTTCAGTGCCATCCAGCATCCCCACGTGCCGCAGGGGACACTGCCCCGTGCCATCACCTCACCGTCCTTACTGTCCTTGAGCCCATCGGTGCAGCCACTGCGTCCACCCGTCCCCTTGAAGGTGCTCCTCTCTCTCCCTGCCCCTCGACTTTACCACACAGGCTGTCTGCCCTTCTCCAGAGACTGCCCCCTCCAGATATGGGGTCCAAAGCCCTTCAGACGAAGCTTCGGCACCCTCGCTTCTAAGGGGCAGTCTGGTTGTATTGCTCTCGAGACAGATCGGTTTGCCCTCTGGCAGCCTGCGGTCACGTTCCTATTATGGTAAATGCGCCGGCCTCACCGCCACTCACAGCACAGAGCAGACCGGCCCCGGGGGTTTCTGAGGCTGTCCATCTTGGCAGGCGCAGACAGCCTCACCTTTCTCCCTCAAAGGGGCTGGTGTGTGTGAACTGCCGACCTTGTATTGAATAGCTCAACTCGTAGCCCCTTGCACCATTATGGTATATTTCATAAAATGTATTATATTTTAAAATATGACTAAGCACGGTCTAGTTCATATCATTTATCAATACCATAGCAACTATCGACATACATGTGTATTTTAAATTGGCGGTTCTCAACCTGTGGGCCGCGACCCCTTTGGGGCGGGTCAAACGACTCTTTCACAGGGGTTGCCCGATTCATAACAGTAGCAAAATTACAATTATGAAGTAGCAACGAAAATACTTTTATGGTTGCAGGGTCACCACCTGAGTAACTATGAAAGAGTGGCGGCATGAGGAAGGCTGAGAACCACTGTTTCAAGTGGACGCATCACTGGGCTTTTGGTGAAGAGTCGCATGGTGGCTTAGTTTCCGTCCAATCACTTCAACCCAAGTGGCTCAGTGGCGCGCGCTGCCTTCTTCACCCGGCGAGCGCATTCTCACTGCCACGCTGTGTTTGCTTCTCAGTCACCCCATCTCCCTGCTTCCTGACAGTCTGGTCTTCGTGCTCAGCCACTGTCAGGTGTTTGGTCTGCCCCCTCTCTCTCACTGCTACCGAGGAGCGCCTGGTGGTATCGAACTGCTGACCTTGGCACTGCTATGAGAAGCCCGATTTCTGCCCCACTGCCCCACCAGGGCCCCTCACGCTTGGTGGTCCGAGGGCAAGTCAGCCAGCGGCCCCTGAGGTTCCCATTCACACGCGTGCCCGGTGGACTCCAGAGGGACGGTTTTTAAGCAGGGCTCTGCCATCAGACCCCTGGGTGCCTGCCGATAGGCTCTCGCCGCAAGACACGCCTCCTAGTCTCATCAGGGCGCCGTCCCAAAGTGACCAGAGATACTCTTTGTGCCCTGGCGAACACGGATCACTGTTTGAAGCACAAGAAAATGAGATGCACCGGAACCAGAAGCGCCAACATTAGGCCTGTTTTTTACTTACACGTGAGAATGCGGCACTGTGCTTCCGCATTGGGCCAATCAGCACAAAGCCATCAGTTACAAACCACGGGGAGAAAGATGAGGCTTTCTACTCCCATCAAGGGTTGCAGTCTCAGAACCCACCGGGGCAGTTCTGCCCTGTCGACAGCACCAGGGTGGCCGTGATCTGGATAGACCGATGGCAGAGTGTTGGCGGTGGGTCTTGCTGTTTAGCTTAGTTTATATGTGGATATGCAGACTCGGGGGCGGGTGGTGGTGGCTTGTTGATTCTCCCTTTACAAACACACTGAGCTACTTCTCCGCTTGGGTTCTGCAGCCCTGCGGTGGGCAGGTCTCCACGGCTGTCGCCCGAGTCACCCCTCTCTTCCAGTGGGTTGTTGTGGAGCTGATGCGAGGCCCGCGATACCGGGCTCGGCCTCTAGGGAGTGATTTCGTTTGGGGGCCGTGGGAGTGGCTGGGTCACTTCTCTGATCTGTGCTTCTCTTCTTTTTTGTTTGTTTGTTTGTTTGTTTGTTTGTTTGTTTGTTTGCATCGACAGCCCAACACAGAGGGCATCTGGGAGCTGATGACGGGCGGTGCCTTCTACTGCTTGGGCATGGTGTTCTTCAAGAGTGACGGGAGGATCCCCTTCGCCCACGCTATCTGGCACCTCTTTGTGGCGTTTGGTGCTGGCACCCACTACTATGCCATCTGGAGGTACCTGTATGTGCCCAGCACCCTGCAAGTCAAGGTGTCCAAATGAGGTGGCAGTGCACACTCCACGGTGCACCTCGGCTCTTGGGAGCAGAACACAGTGGGTGTATCCCTGCGAACCCCAGCCCACACCCTCTGCCCTCCCACAGGGAGAACTCTTGATGGGTCTGAGGTTCCCTCTGGCGACAGCCAGCCAGACCGTCGCTCTGGTCCCAGGTGAGAACCCAGATGTTTAGTCCCGCGTGCTGAAGAGAGCTGTTTCTGAATATAGCCTGGAGGCAACCCGGGTCCAATAATTGGTCCTTGAGGTTCTGAGACACCTGACAAGGAATCTGGTGGGTGGTGTAGACCTGACTGGGTCTTCTTCTCGCTTACCAAAGTCCTGGCTGGGAAATTGCTCCTCCTTCAGGACAAGCCAGCTGCCCGCCCGACAGGTGTGTCTGGCTTAGGGAAGTATGGGGGACCGTGGCAGACATCACCAATCAAGCACAGTACCACTGCTGTGGTTTGAAGGATTCTTTTCAGCACAAGGCTTCCGGCAGCCTCGCGCAGTCAATTTGGTCCTCAAGATGCAACCTGTTGCCTTCTCTGCCCTGGTGGGTTTAAAAGTGGGACTGTGGTCACAACATCTGCCTGTGGCTGACCACTCCACCTGCTGCTCTATTACCTTCTCTTCTTTCTCCCCCACCTTGTGGGGAAGTTCTGAGCTAAGGAGACCAGGGCGTCCAGTCCCAGAAACACCTTTGGTGCTGCTGCTCAGCTCAGGGGAGAAGCCAGCATCTGGGGAGAGCAGGCTGCTATTTGGCCAGTTCGCCTGGTCCAGAACATTCCCGAGAAACCCTGACACCACTCTTCAGGAGGGAGCACAGCAGTCTGTGGGGACAGATGTGGGAACATGCTCACCTGTCCCCTCTTTTTGTTGCCGTTGCTACATCCCTATTCTTCCCCCGGGGTGGCCAGCAGCTCTCAGAGACCACTTGCTTCCCCCATCGCTCCAGCAGGAAGTGAGCGGACCTCAGCCACCACTGAATATGGATCTGAGCAGAGAATCGGGGTGACCCCCAAGCCTGAAGCCCCCAGAAGCTGGATCCTAAGGTGTAGGGAGGGCTGGCCTCCCAGCACCCTTCCCCAGCCTGGGCTCAGCAGCTGAAGATGCACCTGAACACAGCACGGAGGGTGTGTGGTGGAGGGGTGATCCAGCTGAGGATCTCAGGGTCTCTGGTGAAGCATCAGTCTTGAGTCCCGCAGACCCCATTCTGGGACTCCCTCCCCAAGTGGGGGAGGGCGGAGAGGGGCCGGGAGAAGCCTTACACTTTGCTCAAGTACATTCTAGGGTATTCTAGCCTCTGTGACCGCACACATCCACACTGGCAGGACTTGATGTGGACACTCCACAGGCAGGTGGGCTCTGAGCTGGGAGAGGGGCGGGGAGTGTGTGTGTGTGTGTGTGTGTGTGTGTGTGTGTGTGTGTATGACTTGCCTGTGGTTTACCTGCCCTGTGGAATTCACTATATTTCCCATCAGTTGGGGTCAGAGTTAAGGAGCCCTGATGGCACAGTGGTTATGAGTGGGGCTGCTAACTGCAAGGTCAGCAGTTCGAAACCCCCAGTCACTCTGCAGGGGAAAGACAGGGCTTTCTACTCTGGTAAACAGTTACAGCCTAGGAACCCCACAAGGCAGTTCTACCCTGCCCTATAGGGTCACCATGAGTCTGCAGTGCCGGGTCAGGGTCAGGGGCTCCAGGGGGGAGGGAAGGCCGTCCAAGAAAGACTGGGGAGGGGCTCACTTGGGATGGGATCAGGGACACTGTGACTTGACCTCCAGCTGGACCTGCGACCTGAGAGGCGTCACGTTGGCTCCTGGGGCTAATGTTGGAGCCACCACCCCTCCCCATTACTAACCATCCCTACCCCCCTGCCAAGCAAGCTGGTACCACACCAGGCTATGAAAAAAACCTCTCATTGAGAAGCTGAGCTGGATAAAGACACCTACTGGGACCTGTGTGAGGCCCCGAGGTGCATAGTAGGTTACTCCTCGGGCTGCTAACCGTTAGGCCAGCAGTTTGAATACATCAGCTGCTCCTTGGGAGAAAGAGGAGGCTTTCCAGTTTTTTAAAAAGTTAGTCTTGGAAACCCACAGGGCCAGTTCTACTCTGTCCTATAGGGTTGCCGAGTCAGACAGGACTCGATGGCAGTCGGTTTGTTTTTTGTGTGTTTGTGTTAATCGTACCCAGCTATTACGCATTCAGCTGCTCACTTCGAGGTTGGCAGTTCGAACCCACCAGCTGCTCACAGGAGGAGGATGAGGCTGTCTGCTCCCGTGGATCAATTGCTCTGTGTCCTGCAGGGTCACTGCGATGTGGAACCGGCTGGACGGCAGCTGTGGATGCTGGGTGTTTGTGACTTCTTCAGTGACCCTGTGGTCCCAGCTGGCCTCCCAAGTCTCATATATGTGCCTTCATCCCCTTTGAGAGTTCCAGCTTCTGCTGCCCAGCTGGCCAGCAGGAGGCCACACTCCCGTCTCCCGAACTCTCTGGGTGGTCAACTGAGGCAGGGTAATTTTTTTCTTTTTTGACTCATCTTTCTCCTACAGGGCAACTGGTGGGTTTGAACTGCCACCCACTTGGTTAGCAGCAGGTACGTAACCACCAAAACTCACTTTCATCAAGTCCATTCGACTCATGGCGACCCAATGGGGCAGGGTAGAACTGCCCCTGTGGGTGTCTGTAATTCTTTATGGGAGTAGAAAGCCTCATCTTTCTCCTGATTAACCACCGTGGAGTCCAATTTTGGAAGGGCTCTTCTCCTTTTGTATCAACCCAAATCGGAACCCACCACCATCGAACCATTTCTGCCTGTATTGAGTTTCCAAGACTCTCAGGAGCAGACAAGCCTCATCTTTCTCCTGAGGAACAGCTGGTGGGGTTGAACTGCAGACCTTGCCTTCTAAGCAGCCCAAGGCATAGCCCACAGTGCCTAACTCATCAGGACTCCTTTCTCCCACCTTAAACACAAACCAAACCCACTGCCATCGAGTCGAGTCTGACTCAGAGCCACTCTGTCTCAGGTTTCTGAGCTGCAAATCTGCAGGAGCAGGCACCTTCCCCAGTGCCTCTGGGGCGCCTCAAACCCAAACCCAAACCATCGCCATGAAGTCGATATGACTCATAGCAGCCCTCCCGGGGCAGAGGAGAGCGGGCCTGGGGGGGTGTGGGGGGCAGTGTTCCTAGATTGTAAATCTTCACAGAAACAGCCAGCCTCATCTTCCTCCTACAGAGCAGCAGGTATGTCCGGACTGCTGACCTTGCGGTTAGAAACTCAGTGCATAATCCGCTATGCCACCACGGATCCTTAAAACCCAAACCAGACTCACTGCCACTGAGTCCATCCTGACTCCTCTTAGGGCCGAGAAGAACCGTCCCTGTGAGTTTCTGAGGCTGCCACTCTTTACGGGGCAGACAAGCCTCGTCTTTCTCCAGAGGGGTGGCTGATGGTTTCAAACTACTTACCTTGTAGTTAACAGCCAGTATGTAACCCACTACGCCACCAGAGCCAGGCTCCTGAAACAGTGTCAAATCCCAGGTCCTGGCTAGCTGTTGGGTGAGCTGTGCCCCCAGCCCTGTTCATACAGTGAGGGACAGCTGCACCCACCATCCTCTTCCCTGTTGTGCTGGCCCAGGGCCTGCTGCTCTGGCCGGCCTTTGCTCATGGGAACTAGGGACCCTCGGATTGTGGTCTCTGATACTAACTTTGATTGACCTCTGACGTCGGCAGTGTTGGGGACTAGCGTTAGCTTTTCACGCACCACCTGCTGGTATCAGACACTTGCTGCGGCCGTGAGACCCGTCCTCCTTATTATTTTTTAATTTGAAATGGTTTATTAATAACTAGGGCTACATGAGTGCTGAATGATGAACTGCAATCACATCGTCATCAAAGGCAAAAGCGGTTGGGTAATATTCTGGTGTTTGATCACGGGTCATATGGTAATCATTGTATTTTCAAAAGTTAGCATTAAAGCTTCCCCCCTTAATAATAGGAACCTGTAATGGGACGTCGCATGGTCAAAAGTTTAAAAAAAATTGTGAAAAGCCGTCCTCCTTATTAACACAGTTTCTGATACGCATTTGCATGGAGAAGAACCACCCTCCCCGGTGACCTGTGGCTGTTCCCAGTGGAGTAGAAAGAGCTCAATACAAATTCTCCGTGCCTCCCTCTCGCCGGACTGTCCCCTCAGCACTGACGTTTGCCGGTGCGTTTCCACAGGAGCGGTTCTCTGCTCATCACGAGCTGAGGGTGCTTCGCAGGCGTCGTGCGGTGCCGGCTGGCTGTTAGGACGGCTGTCTGCTCCGTCCCACGTGCATTGAAAGCTGGCTCATGAAAAAGGAGGGAGCTGGGGCCTTGGACAGCGGTGTGGGGAGTGAACGGACAACACTGAGTGGGTTGCCAAAAGAACAAACAGACCACAGGGAGAGGACAACGGGGAGATTCACTGTGCTTATTTGGGACACGTCGTCGGGAAGGTCACTCTCTAGAAAGGGACATCGAGTTTGGGAGAGTGGAAGACAATTGGTCCATGAGGGAATGGCCCAACAGACCAACCAACAGCAACGGGCCCCAGCGTGCCCCCAGGCGTGGAGATGGCGTGAGACTGCCTTCTGTTGACACGGGCCACGTGCCCTCGACGTATGGTTTTACCGGGGCCCGAACTTGGGGTTAACAGAATGGACTCCGCCTCCCACATGGCCGTCAAAAGAACACCCTGATGTGTCCAGCCTTGGACTCGAGGGTGGCGATGCTTCGCCTTGCATATCTCAGACAGGTTCTCAGGAGAGGCCAGTCCCTGAAAAAAGACATCGTGCTTGGTAGAGCAGAAGGTTGGTGAACAAGAGGAAGACCCTGGTCAGCGGGGCGGCCCAATGTGTCACCCATACGCCCCGGACGTCTGTCCTAATGACTCCTAATAAATATTCTCCGTGTAGAGATCGTAGCTGAGTTCCTCATCCAGAGCCTTCCTCCTGACTGTCTGGATCAGAACCCAGGTCAGTGTGGGTGGGGGGTGTGGAGGCGGCTCCATCTCACAGTGACCCTATTGATCTACCCACCCCTGAACCCTGCCGGGCCGTGTCACCCTCACACCTGTCCCCATGGTGGAGCCCGTGGTGCAGCCATGGCGTCCACTGATCTCGCCGAAGGTCTCCCTCTGTTTCGCTGCCCCTCCACTTTATCAGTCCTTTTCTAGGGACTGATCCCTCCTGGTAAAATGCCCAAAGTATGCGAGACCAAGT